TATATATATATATATATATAAATAAGTCTTAAATTTTAATTATTAAAAGTTTATAGATTTTTCTATTAAAATTTAATTTTATTCATAATTTTTTCGAATTAAAAATTATCAATTTATATTTAATGATAGATTTAATAAAATCTAAAAAAATTATTACAAAAAAATTAATTCTAATAATTAAAGACATTATTGATAATATAGTTTCTACAAGAAAAATAAGTTTATAAAAAGAAATGATAAGATTAATTATTAGAAATACTCAAAAGATATATATATGCATATATTTTTATGCACCAAAAGATTCAAGACTTCATTACGAATATTACGTCTTGTATTCATTCTTTGATGGAGCCAAGAACCACGAAGAAAATTAAAAAAGGCTCAGAGAAACGATTAAATCGAAAGCGGAGAACTTTACTCAGAAGAATCTTCTTTCTAAATCTATGTATCGTAGAAAGCAAACTAAATTACAATTATTGGAAAGATTTTTACTTATAAAAATTAAACGATCAGTGAGCATTCTACTTTTATACGCTCTAGTCTCTTTCAATCTTATTTTTTAAGTGCATTATTATATATTATTATTATTTATATAATTATTTATATATTATGTGTATTATTTATATAATTTTTTTTAAGTTTTATTTTAATTACTATTAAATAATAATCTTGAATAAAAAAAATATGAATATGAATAAAAAAATGCAAAATTATAATAACTTCAAGTAATTTTTGTTCGATTGCCAACTTACGATGAATATAATCTTATTTATTATACATAAACAGGTATAACATTACTATGTTAATTATGTATAATTACTGTGTTAATCAAATGTTAATGTAAAAAGAAACCGATTTGAATTTAAAAATGTTTTATCATTTTTTATATAAACTAACTTTCATGCTTTTCAAAGTAAATCTCTTTTGCATTGATTTTGTATTTATCGAATGTCATTTCGAGAGAATGAAATGAATTCTTATAGTTTAAATATCTTTTTTCGATTTTATTTTAAAATATAAATATAATTATAATATTACAAGATGATATAGAGTAAAATATTATAATATTCTATCATGTTATTATAAAAATATTTTCAAACAAAATTATATTTAAAATGTGAAAAGAATATTGAGAGTTGATTTTGAGAGTTGATTTTATCAGTTCAAAATGATATTTTGTTAAAAAATGAATTATCACATGTATATAGTGTAAAAACATAAATTTTTATTAAAATTAGAATTTTCGAATGAAGTGAATTTCTTTTTAAAATGGCATACAAATATTTTTATCTCTCATTGTCTAGTGGGTATATTTCATAATACATAGAATTAATATTTTTAAATTGCTTATTTGTTTACTTCTCTACTATCATATAATATGATAAGATTATAAATAAATGATTTTCTTTAAAATAGCGAAATGTAAATGCGATATTATAATAATTCAGAGAATCATTATTATCACTTTAAAAGCACCAGAATCCGCTCATTGTATTCCATGACACAATTGCAAGTTGATTTCTTGCTGCTGCAACTAAAAAGAGTAAGAAGAAAGTCATTAAGCGTTTAAAAGAAGTATTGTATCAACAGTTTTATGCAGATTGCGAATATAATTTTCAAAATAGAAAATTTTAAAATTTATATAAAAAAAAACAAATTAAAAGAATCTTTTAAAAAAGGAGAAAAAATGAATAAAATAAAGTATATAATAAAATATTAAAAACAATACACGGAAATATAAATTATTTATTACAAAGAAAGAAGTGGAAAAAAACATAATGTATAATTATGTAAATTAATAATAAAAAATAAGAAAACATAACATAAAAATAAAATGTAAATTAATAAAAAAAATTATAAAAAAAATATGAAAAAAATATAAAGAACAAAATACAAAATAAAACGAAAGAAGTTTATAAGAATGAAAGTTACGAGTAAATTCTTAATACTGAAGATTTACTGAAGTATGCCGATGCCAAGAACTAGGAAAAGAAGAAATAAATGGAACGAAGTGGAAAGCAAACAACAACTGAAGAAGAATATAGAAGGATTTTCTATGAAGTGTAATTGGAATAAAAGTTGGACAAGTTAAATAAGAAAAAATTTTTAATTTTGAGATATGAAAGCAAAGAATGTTTTAATTAAAAATAATTAAAAATTATTATTCAAGTAACAATAATGAATGAATAAACAATTATAATGAAATAATAATTGATAATTAATAAATAAACTTATTTAATGTAATAAAATTAAAAAAAATAATAAAAATTATCAATAAAATTAAATAAAGAATAAATAGCTAGAAAATGTTTAGATCGGTACATATACGAATTGCAGCGTGCATATTTTAACATATATTTACAAGATGTTAATATATTCATGAAATATCTTTAGAGAGTAGATTCTAGAGACTAAAACAAAAGTTGATGCTTATTTATTAATTAATAAGCAATTTAAGTTTGAATAAGATGAGATAGTTCTATCTTTATCACTTCATGGGTTCACTTCTGTCTTCATCTCGCTTTATCTAATATAAATTTAGCATTAAAGAAAGAGAGAGTTAATTTTTATGTGAAGTTTGATTATTTCTAATTTAATAAATCAGCTTTAATCGACCTTTTTACAAACCAATTTTTGTGTTTGTTTTGACCTCTAAAATCGATAGATGTCTTACTTGAACCTATACAATACGTAATTCATCTATTGTATACAATATAAAATGCTATTGCAATATATCATCTCATTTTAACGAAATATATCTATTATATATCTATTATTACATCATCGATATTATTTCCATCATTAAATATACTATATAATTTGTAAGTTATTT